AAAACGGGCTGAGGGAGATAAGTAGACACCTATTAATGTGAAGGTGAGGGTTTTCTGCTTCACAGTCAGGCAAACATATTGGTTCTCATCATGAGGCGACACAGGTTGAATGATGTAGGTAAGCTCCCGACGAATATACACAATGACCTTGCTGCTTTCGTTTCGGGTTTTGGACGGGATTGATTCGTAGCCAGATAGCCTGATCGGGTTTGATAATTTCGGTTCACATATTACGATGATTGGGAAAAGGTTAGAAAACACGTACTGACGAAAATCGGAAATCCGTGATCTAAGTCCTCTTGCGTTCCACTGGATGACTGATGCTTCTCTGACGTCTTTGCGGAACGATTGTTGATCTCCTGCCATGACTCTACGCGAGGGAGGCGAGGACTGGGCTCAGCGCGTCCAACACCTGTAACCCGCTTCGAGCGGTTGGAGTTCCCAGGCTTCTTAGTATGTCTGCCATGACAGCGACGAGGGATCGTAACATCGGGATGATCTGTCGATCGACCCTTGACACATCCTCAACGGAAGTAGACTCGGTGGAAGGTGTAGGGCGGCGAGGCCTCGCAGGAGGCTCCTTTGCAGGCTGTGTACGCGGAAGCGTAGGCCACTCATCCGCAGCTGTGAGCTTCTCCACTTCTTTTCGCTTCGTGCTTACTACTTCACTCGTGCTCGGAGGAAATGGGTTATGCGCAACACTCTGTCCTCCACGCCTCCGTCGGCGACTACGTCGCCGCCGTACCCTTTCAGCAGCCTCTCTGTGGGTTGAATTGTCCCTAACCATTTGTTTGATAATGGCGATTTCCTTCTTAATCCGAGGGCATTCCTTGGATGCAGCATCATGCGGACCATCACAGTTTCTGCACTTCAGACTTGTTGCCCGACATGCGTCTGCAGTGTGCGGCTCAGCGCATCGGGGGCATACTGTGGTGTTTGTACATACACTCTTGATGTGACCAATTTTCATGCAGTTATGGCACTGGAGTGGTTTAGGGACAAATGGTCGAACAGGATGTCGGAAGTGTCCCACTTTGACATGCGACGGAATGGAATCTCCTTTGAACATTATCTTTACACATAGGGTGTTTCCGAGGCGAAGTACATTCGCGATGAGAACTCCTTCGTTCGCTGGTTTTATGAGAGTTGGGAGGTCCGAGTTTGCTATGGCCAAATCAATGTCGTAGATTACTCCCGCCGTGCAGGCACCGTCCATTGGAATAACCGGTCGTACTTTGATGCCTCCCAAATCTGATACTCTGCGAAGCTTGTCTATGGCGCTGGCAGTCATTGTGTCCACAGCTAGAATATTCTTCCGCGTGTTCACCCGGATATCCTTAATGTCGTTTGGTGCTACCCCCTCAAAGTACATAGAGAGAGCTTGCCTGTTTACTGCTCGAAGGCTGATGGTGGAGTCCTCGGGCATGAAGAGGATGGTGTGCGGCCAGCATTCTCCTTTTGACTGAGACGTTAATGTCCCTGCTGGTGAAGACGACTTGATACTTCTTCTTTTGGCCTTCCTGCTTCTCACGGTCTCGAAGTCGTCATCCGACGAGTCGTCGCCAGTGGCCGAGTACAGTTCCGTGTCCTCGCTGGTGCTCGAACAGGTGCTTCGTTTCCGCGACGAGCTTGCCAAAAGTGGTCTATGGTCGGACATAGCCGCAGAAGGCTCCACGTCCACAGCCATAATGCAGTGACTATCACCGTTGGCCTCACTGGTTCTGGGCCAGGCGCGCTGATTTACCGAGGAGCTCGCCATAGCAGACCTCTGGCTGGGCGGACCAGTGGATGACTCCGCGTCCGTCGCCTTGGGGCAGGGAGCAGCGTCTCCCGTAGAAAGCGAAAAACTTGATAACAATGCTCGGAGCCGAAAGCAGACTCGTTGTTTTTCGAACAAAACTCAAGTACTCGTTGTTTTTCGAACTAAACCTATCTTGTTCCGCGCTCTAAAATTGGCGCACGTGTTTAGGTGTAAAGTCGAAAAGCAAAAATATGACGATGATGAAAAGGAGAAATAAAAAATGCGTTCCAGTTCCTGATGACAATTTTTGTTCATAGCTCATGCACAAACAGCTATCATAGACTTTTCGATGAATTAAAACAGAAAGATTTATTTATTTACATTTCACCTACATTGCCTTAAGGCATTACGTAGGGGAGGTACACATAATAATTTGACTACATAGATTAAATCGAAACAATGGATACAACAAATACAACAGCACTCAAGATATTTTAAGAGAAGAAAAAAACATTCGAATATTTGTGAGCAAAATCAACGTCGCAGTCATGCATTTGTAAACGCACACACGCTTCGAGACAACAAACCATTCTTAATGGCAGTGATATTGCAGGCATGGTTACAAGGAAGAGAAAAGAGGATTCATTATCAGTTTCATTGTCGAGATCATGCGGTAGACGGTTTCAGTACTGTATTGTTTTTACGAAAAAAGAACTACCGAAAGAGTGGGTTTTATAGCGCTATTCTAATATTTTTCGTCAATGGTCTTGGCGATTAGAGACGTACGTTGATTTGAACAGATAATCGAGAAGGTTAATTGCATTTCCATTATAATATATACAATGAAGAAACTTAAGCCTCAGTTTCTGCCTCCTTACCATCAGTGTCTCCCAATTCAATGTTCGTTTCATTTCTGTGATGCTTGCAAAAGAGTTATAATTGTTGCGAACCAATCTGGTTGCTTTGTTTTGAACTTTTTCCAGTACGTCAATCAAGAATTGCTGATGGGGATCCCAGATTGCGTAAGCATAATCTAGAATAGGTCTTACATACATGAGACAAAGGGTTTGTTGCACAGTCCGTGAAACTTGCCTAAAATATCTGCGTATGAAGTAAAGCCTCCGGCCTGTCTTGGCCACAGTTATGCCAATGTGTTTATTCCACTTGAAGTTTTCTGAAGAATAGACGCCCAGATACTTATAATAGGATTCATTGCTAATTATTGAATTATTTAATTTGTATGTTGTGTCTAGTTTATTAAACCAATTGTTGAATAATACACAGCAACATTTACAGACGTCTAGACTCATTTTCCATTTTTGGCTTCACGTTGATAATCGGTACAGATCTTGCTGCAAAATTTCAGCATCCTTGTGTGATTTAATCACTGTAAACACTACACAATCATCTGCGAATAACTTAATGGGAGAGGCAATACCACCAACTATGCTATTAATACAAATCAGGAAACGCAAAGGTCCTGATACGCTCCCCTGTGGTACACCGGACGTAACGATCACCGCAGACGATTTTGAGCCGTTAAGCACTACGTTCTGCTTCCGATCATTTAGATAGTTCTTTACCCAATTGGTAACATTAAGGTTTATGTTTGCGGAGAGCATTGCAAATTCGAACAGATTGTGTGGGATCGTATAGAAAGCTTTCCGGAAATCGAGGAACAATGCATCTACTTGAGCGCTACTGTCTATAGATTGTGCGATGTAATGCTGAAATTTGACTTGTTGAGTTACGCATGAGCGTCTATTTCTGAAACCATGCTGAGATGGAGTGAGGAAGTTGATTGACTCTAGGTATATAACTGTTTCACTGTATATGATGTGCTCAAATAACTTACAGAATTGCTATTAGCGAGATGGGCGTGACTTCCCAGCATCAGCAAAGCCAAAACCTCCCCTAGTATGAGTGTAGCAGTTCGGGCTAGTCACCCAGTATAAGGTTCTGCACCTCTACCCCTGCTTCTTGGTAACTTTTTGTCCCTTCTAGGCTGGCTTTTTCACGTTCAGTATGCACAAACAGGTCAGCCAACTATTGCGTTGCACGACCCAGACACTATCTCCAACCCCCTAAAAAAATCGTCTATGAGCACGCCGCTTGAATAAGGCGTTCGTCGAACGTGTCGCCACATGCAAACTTTGCAGTGACTGCGTTAGAACTGCGTTTTTATTGTACTTCATTCACATGCAATATTAAGAGTATGTGCCCATGTTTCTGCAAGCACCTGGAAAGCAATTGTTCAACGAGACTTTTAAAAGAACGACGATAAAGTTTAAACACGAATTCACAAACATGTGGCACGTCCGCGTGAAGTAAAAAGGTCATTTACTTCACGCGGACGTGTCAGGAAGGTCATTATGTCAGGAAGGTCATTAATGTACAGTAAAAAAAATAAGGGACCCAGTCGTGAAACTTGGGGAATTTTTTATTTATTGTTCTAGTCGATGAAAAGGAACCTGCTATGTACGCAATATGTTTTCTAATAACCAGGTAACTGTTTAGAGACTTGAGGGATGCACCTGTGTTGCCATATGCGTCTTTCTTCTTGGACAAAATGAGATGAAAAGTGGTGTCGAATGGCTTTGATAAATCTAAAAAAATTGACCCATAGTAGCACCCTCAATCAATGAAGCGTTTGATTTAGTCAGAATAGAAAAGAAGGGCAAAGTCAGTTGAACTTACAGAGCGAAAGCTAAATGAACAGGACTTCAATACATCAAATTTATTCTTGTTAAGCCAAACTATGAATAATTTTTGATAACTTTCATGTGGGAAGAATGAATATAGATCGGACGATAACTAGAAAGACATTGTTTATCACTTTTTTAAAACAACACAAGTACTTTGGCTATCTTTAGAGAACCAGCACCCTCAGAGAATAACCAACACCATCTAGACTAGGTTGGACCTATTATCTTCTTTTCCGAGCACTTACGTCACCACACTATGACGAAGTTGTTTGCCTTGTTGGCGCTTTCGGGAAATGGGAAACCGCAAGAACCGGGCATAAGTTTCGCATCTCTTTCAAGCAGGATTTGTAACTCGCCATTAGAACACTAACGAGTTTGTAGCAATGGTCATTTCAGAGAACGCACCCTCCGTGCTGCCCCTTCTTTTGAAATGACGTCACCGAGAAGTGATGAGGCCTTAGCAAGCGAAAGCCTCGGACTCCGCTAATCTGTGAAGTGTTCGAAATATTGCGCTCTTTCTTTGTGTTTGAGAAATTGTTCAGCTGCCTTTGCAGACCTCTCCTGTATCGACAAGTGCGAGGCCCTCGTGCCCAAATTTGCCAAGGCTGCCGAGCAGCTCGAGGAAGAAGGCTCGGACATCAAGCTGGCCAAGGTGTACACAACCTTCAAGGGCCTGCTCGCTTGTAAGTACCTGCACAGCTTGCCGACACTCATGTTTTTCCACAACGAACATCCGGTCGACTACAAGGGTAGCCATACCATAGAGAAGATGATCCAGTGGGTTAAAAAGAAAACCGAACCACCGGCTCAGATACTCAGCACTGTGGACGATGCGAGGATCTTCGTGGACAGCGCGGAGGTCACCATCGTGGGCTTCTTCAAAAACCAGACGAGCCTCGAGGCCAAAGAGTTCCTCAAGGCTGCGTACACTATCGACCGGCACGCGTTTGCCATCACATCGGAGGACGCCGTCTACAAGGAGCTTGGTGCCAGCAAGGACGGAGTGATGCTCTTCAAGAAGGTCAGTGCTGTACAGTGGAAGTTGGTAGCTCAGCACAAGTTAGACCTACTCAATGTTTGTGAACAGCGGGAGGTACCGTCGACTTACTGAGGCGCTTGTAGCGATGTCGTGGCGCGTAGGCTCCGCCCAGTGCTTAACAAGTATGTCGACGACGCCTACCGCTCTTCACAAACTTTCATTAGTTTCATAGTCTGTGACCAACTTAGAATAAACAGGAACGTGTATAGAGTAGATTGAGAGAAACGCGAACATGCGGCATCTACTATATCTGTTTTGCATCGTTTTCAAGCTGTTTCAGTATGGATAGTTACAAACAGCTAATATGAAAAATCCGTAAACTGGGGTTGCGTTGGGCCGACGTTTCGACAAGAGGACATGTCTTCCTCAAGGCGAGAACAGAACAGTTTTATTCTAGCCTTGAGGCTTACAAGTCCGCTTGTCGAAACACAAACTTCCATCTTTTCTTCCTACCATTTTTTTAAAAGAGCTACTAGTCACTTATGGTACAATCGAGGACCTTCTAGTATCCTTGCATCGCCTCCTATTTCAGAGCCTTTTTCAAAACAAAGTGCTGTGCTCTATGTACGTCTTTATTTCCATATCACACAACCACCCACCCCCCTCCCCTACCACTATCCGTTCTAAAAGGGGCTTTTAAACTCTCTTTAAAATAACCATAGAATGAATTCCGTGGAAGAGCTTATTGCCTCACAATTTCAACGCCGCAAAAATTTTAGGAGAGCATACAGTGCGAGTGGAAGTACAAAGGTTTGTCGCATGCTGAAATTTTATTTTCTATTCTCTTGTCCCAACGAAAGCGCTGGAAGCTAAGCAGGAATGGATGGAAGGGCCACAGAAAAAGGACACAAACGCCTTACGACCTTGAGCACATTTTTCTTTGTTTTTTTCGAATGCGCGGCTTTCTCAGTGTGCTCGCGCACACATAGATGGATGGATTTATATGGCTGTACCCTTTAGATCGGGTGGTGGCTGACGCCACCAAGTCGTAATACTTAGTGAACCAAAAGATACATTTATTTTTTTGCTTTTCAATAGTGAGGTTGAGGACTTGTGCTTTTCAGTGAAGGGTTTAATTCGTGCCTTGAATTTAGCCACCAATCAGATAACCGTGTTCTAGTCAATTTTACTCGCTTAAAGTCCATTATGGCCTGTCTGTTTCTAAACCCCAGTGCTTTAAAAAAATCTGCGCCATCATCCTGAATTATAGGGTGAAGCCCTTTACAGAACATTATCAAGTGTTCGGCAGTTTCTTCTTCTTCTCAGCACGCACTGCATACTGTGTCTACCCATCATACTTGGCCCGTTATGTCTTGGTTCGCAATACTCCCGTCCTAGCCTCAAACAGTAGAGAACTACCCCGAGTATTACCATAGATCCTTTCCTTGGCAATTTTCTGCTTAAATGTTTGATAGATCTCTAGTGTGGACTTCTTAATCATGCCAATTCTCCACTTATTGGTCTCAGCTTCATTCACCTTCTTTTTAACCGATAATACTCTTTAGTTTGGCCCCCTGCTATTTTCGAAGTATTTACCTATCAATTTTCTGGTTCGCTTCCTCCCTTTCGTATCGACATTCTTCATGTACAAGTAGCTGAGTACCTTTATAGCCCAACGCTCCTCCCCCATTTCTCTCAATCGCTTCTCAGTTTTTATCTTGCTGCTGGCTTCCGTGTCCTCAAATGATGTTCATCCCATATCACCTTGTACTCCCTGAATTGGTGTATATCGTGAGCTCCTAAGGCAAGCCTACATATTCCACGTTGCTTACTTTATAATGTTGCTTGAGCTTCTGATCTCATGCTCAAGACCACATTGCCGAACGTCAGACCAGGAACCATTACCCCTTTCCATATTCCTCTCACAACATCACACCTATACATAGTGTGCACGTGCGTCACGCAGCGCCCCTTCGTCACTTCCGAAATGCGCCACCGACATGCCCGGATACCTGCCGACTCCGTCGCTTACCGCTACCGTGTTGTCTCCTCGTGCTGGCGCCAATTTAGTTTTGCCTCACCATGCAAGTTTGAGGGCTGCTAGTGAGGCAAGTTGATTTAGTAGTCCCCGAAGAGAGAGTAGAACGTCGGGGTGTTTCTTCGCCGAAAGTTATTACCCAAAGTTGAGAACGCACTTTGCGATTTTCCGAAAAATACCCGCGTGTTTGGCTGGCACGGATTAACAAAACAAAACTACTTGAAGAAACTCGGTGATAATTGCGTCTTCAGGTGTAACTTCATTCCGGGTAAGTGCCGTAGCCAAGCACTTACCTGCAAACAGAGATAGCTTACCAAAGATACTGTACATACAAACTTGTCAGTGACCACTGCGTGTACAATCAGTGTGTTAGGGAGGCGGTTAAAATCGTGATGGTGATCGCAGAAATTCGGGCATTGCATTAAAACAAACTGTGAAAATAGATGCGAAACAATATTAGTTCACATTGAAGTATAGTCAATTGGTTCGAGTTGGGGGGGTCAGGATTTTAAAAAAATTGGTCAAATAATTCCCTAACACAGTCTCGATCATTTTCAGGGTCTCAACTGTACATTAGCGTAAAAAAGTAAAATACAAGGTGAAAAGGTGTCAAAACATACGCGAAAAAAGAAAGTGATGACCGGCATTACCACGGCACGCTCCACGTGAAGTCTCTATCTGCCTCACATAATGTTTTCCTCGGCTGTTTCCACAAATTTCAATCAAACAGGCTCAACATCAGCACTGTTTAAAACACTTGGGGGGCGTAAACACTTGGGGGGGGGGGACGCTGCTACTTTGAGGGCGCGGGCCACAGCAATATATTAATAATATTATATCTCTTGTAAACTTGTCTCACTTTGCACGAATCATTTTAGAAGGAAGCTGCTGCGCTTCGCTCATCCACTCTTATTATTGCAGCTCGAGAGACTTTGGGCTTTCACTTGTTCTTGGGCCACGCAATTTGTGGTGTTTGTAGTGAAAGCGAGATAATGGGCCCTCGTACGTCGTGGCGGGCAGCCGGTGTACGCGGTGGCTGGTATAGGTGTCGCACATCTTGATTTTCTGATCTTGTATCGAGTGAACAAACAAGCCCTTCCTGATCCGATGAGGTCGTTAAAGTATGACAACAACACCAAAAAAACACAATCCTTCTCTTTTAACATTGTACACAGCAACAGATAATGAGCCCCCCAAAAACAGCGCTGCAGCACGCGAACTGCCATAGGTACCGAGGCATGGCGGGAGAAGGCGACAACGGCGGAAGTGACATCACATGAACATTATGTATTGTAATTCCACAGTGCCCTGTTTTTCATCATCGCTGCATTCCTGTTACCTTTAGTCACGTATATTTCGTGTTGCCTTAGGTACTCGGCCTGATTGCTTATCCATGTGCCCAGATATTTGTATTTATCATTTATCTCTAGCGTTAACTAATGTATTCTAAGCTCACTACCTTCACTATCATTAAAAGTCATGACTGCCGAACTTTCCTTAGAGAATCCTAAATCTAACCTATCTCCCTCATTACGGCAGATGTCCATCAATCTCTACAAATATTCCTTGTTCTCGGCCATTAGCACTATATCATCTGCGTGCCTGTTCAATGAGTTTTCCTTGTTTGACAAAAGAGAGGTTGAAGCCCAGTCCACTTCCGTCTAATTTGGCTCTAATCGTTGTAGGTACATCATGAATAACAAGGGTGACAGAGGACACCCCTGCCTAAGCCCCTGTTTTACCTCTGCAGGCATGGATACCTGTTTTTCCCACTTTATAACTGCCTCTTTACTTTTAAAGATACACTTTAAATGATCAGTGACTCCATCTTCTACACATAGTGTGTCCAGTATTCCCCTTAAGTCCTCTGGAACCACGCTACCGTACGTTCAAAAATTGCTAGCTACAGGGGCCTGTGTGCCTTTTCTGCTATTCAATGCACTGCGTCAGTGAGAACAAATTGTCTTCCAACCTCCTGTGCTTCCGAAACCCATTCTGCAGTTCCCCAGTTCCCTCTATCCTGCAGTTCCTCTATCTATGCCTGCATTCTTTCCTTTATAATCTGCATCGCCAGCCTGTAGATCACTGATGTCACTGTTATAGAACGGTAGTTTTTATGTCAGCTTTGTCTCCCTTTCCTTTATAGATCATGCTCATCCTGCTAAGTTTACATCAATCGGGGACTTCACCATCGATTACTATTTTGCTCACTGCCTCTCTCAAAGCCTGCTTAGAATTCGGACCTAATGTCTTTATCAGCATAATTGGAATGCCATCTGGGCCTATTGATGTACTACTAGGAACCCTCTTCTCAGCCCTTTCCCACTCTTGTTGTGAAAATGGAGCCATTGCGCCACTTGATTCATCCTTGTCCATTGTGGTGCATAAAGTACTTCTTTGTTAAAATTTTTTGTCACCATTGTTCCTATATATTCAATAGCTTCGTCCCCTTCTAGCCTAGCACCTTGAGCTGTAGATATTAACCTCTGCTCCAGGCTCGTCTCCTTTCTTAGGGAGTTTAGATGGTGTGCGAAATTTCGCAGCTGCTTTTCTATCTTTTTTACGTACTTCGGCCAGCCACAGAGCTCCCTTTCTTCTAATCTTTTCATTAATCAGAAGGCACGCATTCCTTCTACAGCTTAAAAGTTTTCTCATTTTCTTTCAACAACATCTGTCGTTTCACCCCGCTGCTTAGCATGTCTGTTTCCTAGAGGCTTCCTGACGTTTTTCTATGGCTCTCTTAACTTCCTCAACCCACCAACTCTTGGATTTGTGTCTTCTTTTCCGGGGTGACTTGTCACATGCCATAGCAAGCTCTAGCTCAAACAGTCTAATTAGATTCGTGTATGTCCAAACTGTTTTATTATCCTCAGTGATTACTTTCTCAATTTGTGTAGTGGCTATTTCTATTTGACTTTCTGGATAAACATTTTCCTGTAGTTGCTCATCCTGTCTTCTTCGCACTTTCCCTGCTCTTCGAAAACTTAGCTTGATACGTTTGTGA